GTAAGATTTCTCAAAGCTTAAACCATGAGAGGTTGCCATGTGTCCATTAATTTTTTGACATTAATATTTTTAATTTATTTATTAAAAAGAAAAAAATTAAGTGTCTTTAATAACTTTAACAATTAATTATAACAATTTAGTAGTTAATTCTTATGTAAATTAATTATAATAATTTACAACTAAGTGTTTTGTGTACATTTATATACTTCTTATGTAAATTATAATATAACGTTTATATAAATTTATGTATAGAAAACAAATATTTTATTTATTTTTTCCTTTTATGTAGGTAACTTTGATTTTAAAATAAATAAATCACAAAAAAACATGAACAAAAAAAAATGATGTGAAAAAACTAAAGAGTGATTTTAGAATTTTTAGAGCTGGTAAATCCAACAAGTCTGATTGGGAAAATTTAGAGTTTAAAAGTTTTTTAAAATGCTTTCATAACTTTTAAAAACAATTTATCAAGTAATGCAATTGAAAAAATTTGTGTTGGACAAAGTAATTTTCATAACCAAGACTCTCGAAAAAAAAATTTACTCCACCACAAATTGTAAATCAGAAAGCAAAATCATTTTACCAATTAATTGATGTGAAAGATAAAAATCACAGTAAAGTGATAAATAACGTGGGAAAAAACAATCAAACATCAATTATTCTCTCCTTATTCAAAGTTCTAATGAAATAAACAAAAATATGTATTCCAACAACTCTATTGAGATGATGTAGCTGTCTCGGTAGAAACAAAACATATTACAACTTGTTTGATCAATAGGTTTTTATATGCGTATTTGATGCAAAAAAACGACCAATCATTTTTTAAGAAACCGTAGTGAATATTGATTTATACATACAAGTTAAGGATTTGTACCAAATAAGATGTCTTCAATATGCTATAATTTTTATTAATGAACAGTCTATTTTATATATATATATATAATGGTGTGTATGTCTAAAAATTTGGTACAAATGCTTAATTTAATAATTTAAAAAATTATTTACTATAAACACCAAAT